GTTCAAGCAATTCTCCTGCCTCAGCCTCCCGAGTAGCTGGGACTACAGGCGTGCACCACCATGCCCAGCTAATTTTTTGTATTTTTAGTAGAGACGGGGTTTCACCTTGTTGACCAGGATGGTCTCGATCTCTTGACCTCGTGATCCACCCGCCTCAGCCTCCCAAAGTGCTGGGATTATAGGCTTGAGCCACGCGCCCAGCCCTGTTGTACGTTTCTTAACGATTTTGTCTGCTTATTCATATAGTCCTACCTTAATTATCTCAGGGGCCCCAACTGCCCCAGACAGGGTCTAGGTCCATCCTCCATTTATTACCTAAGACATCGCACTTGCAGGGTCCAATAGTCGCAGATTACCCAACATCCCCAAGAGTCAGGAGCCAATTACATCTCAATAAAGCATGCCCCTGGGGAATATGCAGAGGAAAAGGGAACTTATGTCCAAAAAACAGACATTTGTGTCCCAGACAAATCACACGATATCAGACACATAGGTTTACATCTCTGATGTTAGTCCAGTTAACCTCGAAAGGCTGAAAGACAGGAAAAGTATCATGTGCATCTCTATATTCTGGCTGCAAAATGCAAGGGGAAGAGCTCAAGTTAAAGCAGCTGAGCAGAGTGAGTGAAAGGAGAAGAAATGACAGGTTCCCAACACACGTGGAGAGCTGTCATCAAGACTTCCTTGTTCCCTCTTGCCATACGTCTTGGCAAGCATGCAGGAAGATGCTGGAGGCCTAGGATGGGAATGTTTGGCTCTGCCCCCTCAGCTTGTTGTGAAAGCAACATGCCTGGGCTGTGCATCACAAACCCCGCACAGGATAAAAAGGCTCTTACCTTGGATTCCTCATCCATAGCCTCCCTAGAGAGCAGCCTTCTTCTCTTTAGCCTCTTCTGTATCTGGCAAGTATCTAGCAGGGGACCCTGAGCTGGGAGTGTTTGGGAAGATAACAGATTTTACTAGGGAAGGGGGAAGCAGAGGCGTCAGATGTGCAGACAGCAGGAAGAGGACTTTGGAGGGCAGCTAAGGGTAGGGAAAGGGGCAATGAGCAAGGAACCTCTGTGGGGTGCGTGAGAGTCTGTGACACACAAGAGCCCTGGCTCTCAGCATCCCCTCCACTCTTTCCCTGAGAGATGCACCCATACCCAGCCGTATTCTCTGAGAACCATTACTTAATTAGGTGTATCTGCATTAATGTTTCTGTGAAAACAAGAGGGCTTGGGGCCCAGTTGGAAGATATCAGCCTTCTTTTCTGGAAGAAGGAAAAGTGGAAGGAAATGTCTTACCAGGCCAGTTTTACTTGAGATCAGTTTCTGTTTTTGTTCCTGAAGTTTATATCTCAGGAAGCAATTGGTCTTAGGAGTAAGGGCTTCATAAAATTATTTGTATAGGTGCTTTTCATTGGTCTGGTGCTTTTCCACTGACCTTTTCCTTTGATCTATCCAGGCTGTCAGGCCTCCTGCCAAGATGTCCTGCCAGCAGAACCAGCAGCAGTGCCAGCCCCACCCAAGTGCCCCTCACCCAAGTGTCCCCCAAAGAGCCCAGCTCAGTGCCTGCCTCCAGCCTCCTCCTGCTGTGCTGCTCCAAGCCCTGGGGGCTGCGGTGGCCCCAGCTCTGAGGGCAGCTGCTGCCTGAGCCACCACAGGCACCACAGGTCCCATTGATGCCGGCGCCAGCGATCCAACTCCTGTGACAAGGGCAGTGGTCAGCAAGATGGGGCCTCCAGCTGTGGCTATGGCTCTGGGGGCTGCTGCTGACCTAATTCCTGATGCGGAGACAAGCGACTTTAGCGGAAACAAGCATCTGAAGGACCAAGGAAAAGCCCCAACTTGGTGGATCCTTTCTTAGACATCCTAATTAATCATTCATTCATGGGGAAGGATTGTGCTTTTTCCAAAAGGCTACACCCATGTGTTTTCCAAGATCCTGGAAGCCTCCTTTCCTCCTGACAATGTCATCACTTGTGTCTGATTACACAGAGAAATAAAGCTTCTGAACAGCACCTGCATCTCACTTGTCTTTCCCTCTGCCCCACAGAAGCCTGCTCAGTGGGTCTCCCCACCTCAGCTCCTGAAGGTCTAGCGTGCCCAGCATCCAGAATAATACTGGCTTGTGTTTGGAAAATTAACGGGTCAGATTTTTCTTCATGCAGGCGTCCCTGTGGGAGACTGGAGGATAGAAGTGTGGGAGCAAGGGGAGGTGTTGAGAGAGGTTGGTGAAAATCTCTTAGAAAGACCTGACTTTTCTTGTGTGGTACTGTGGGAGGACTGATCTGACACTGGAGCCCACAGTTTCTGCTGAGAGTGAGGTAGAGCATCAGAAAATCAGCAAGAATGAGACCAAAGAGAAGGGAGGGTGTGTGGGCAGAAAGAACGGTCTGAAGGATAAAGATCAAGTCAAACTGCACATAATGGACTTCAGGGAGGGAGTTGAGCTGAAGTTAGTAAATTCTGAAGCAATTGGAATTGAAGTTTTCTCTGATGAGAATGCTAATGAGAGGCTCTGTGCTCTTAGAAAACAGAGAAAAGAGGACATGAGGAATGTCTCCAGGGGTACAGATGACATATCTGTACATTTCTTTTAAGAAATTTCAGATAGAATTGGACTTTTTTTTTTTTTTTTTTGCTGTTGAATGTTACTTTCTGAACTCAACAAAAACAAGACACAGCCATATTATAGCTACCACTGGACTGTAACTGGCAGCTCCTGCCCCAACGCCGGAATACGGCAGTGTTTTATCCCTACTCCAAACCAAAGTGATTGATGTGAATCATGAGTACTGCTTCATTTTGACAGATGGATTTTGGAAATACTTTTGCACAAGTGGGGGCTGTTCAACACAAGCCATGATGGTTCTTTAGGTAACTTCAGAAAGATGAAAATAAGTCATATCGCTGTGGCTACAGTCAAAGAAGAAATTTTTGAGGGAAATCAGTTTTAGCATGGACATTTTAGACAGAGAATAAGACCTATGTGATACTTTGGGAATTCAACTGATTATAATAAGTTATTTTTAAAATTTCATTTTTAAAAAGTGGCCAACTGGAAATCAGTTTTGCTCCAATATATTTGGACACATTATTTCTTAAGAAACTGGAATGAAAAGTTTCAAAAGGAATCGTGATTGGAAGTTGAAGTCAAATGTGCTCTGCTGGTCAAATCATTTACCTGGCTGAGAATAGTTCTCTGAGAAAGAGAACAGAGAAATGAAACTTAACAACTGAGTAGACTTGAATCAATGTAATAGGTTTCTTGCTCTGGTACACTTGACACATGCTTGGAAAGTGCTCCTTTAAAAGTCAGAATTAAAACACATAATGTAGAAAAAAGAAAAAGAGTGGGCAAGCTCCTTATGGGAACACCTAGGTCCCACATTCGGCTATGTTGTACATGCAAAGCCACAAGCATTGATGAAGCTAGTTGGCCTAAAATTCATAGGAATTATGTTCATAAAATTTATTTCAGGATGTATAGAGATTGAGATTGCACAGACATTTGATGAGTATATCTCCCATGCCAGGTGCCATTCTAGGCACTGTAGATACAACGGGAACAGATGAAGTTTCTATTTACTTGGAGCAGACATTGCATGGGCATTTTGCAGACTGACATTTTCCTTACTCTGCATTCAGTTGGATTCTGATTCCCTGTGTGTAAGGAGTGTCAGTGTTGGCGAGATAAACCCAGCCTTGGAAGAACTTTAAGGCATGAAAGTGGTGAATTTTGGGGGAACTAAGAAAGCTATCTAGTGGCTATTGGCACCTCCGCAGAGCCAACAGCTTTAGAAGGAAGGAAGTAGGTTGCTGATGGCAGAAAATTAGTGGGTGTCCTATTGTTACACAACAAATCACCCCAAAACGTAATGACGTGAAATGACACACTAAGTGATGTGGAATGACAGCCATCTTGCCTTTCTCACAATTTTATGTTGGGGGAAGCAGCAAAGGAGAAAGGACTTACAGAGTGCCTATATAAATTGGTTATGAGTGACATGTAAACTGAGAACAACAAACCTTGGCAAACTGCGGGAGGCCTCTGGGGAGGCAAATGTCTCCATGCCTCATATTCCAGGTACAGGGTGACCTAGACTCTGTTACCATAAACATTGCTCAAGGGTGTAAAACCCCTTCATTGCACTAAGACATAACCAGACTTGTAGGCGCCTTGTGAGGCCCGCTTCCACCAGCTGTACATAGATAACAGGCTAAAGATAACCATGTGTTTTTGTTTTGTGAAACTCCCAAACCATCGCTGTTATCAATCTTTAGAATGATGCACCAGTTCCGGCTCACTGATTCACCCCAGCATCACATCACCCTCTCCCCACCATCACTCCACCGCCTACCCTATAGATCAAAGTGATTGTAACCAATAAATACTGTGGAAGATCAGAGGCTGGGGCCTTTGCACCCTCCAGTTTATGCATTGGCCCCCTGGTCCCACTTTATGCATTCTTAACCTGCCTTTTTTTCTTTCCTTTGTTGCCACCAAACTCGGGTGGGGTGTGGGATTCCCTACGTTCTATGGGTTAGAAATTCAGGGAGGACTCAGCTGGGCCATTCTCATTTCATGCATTTGCCATCAGATGTTGACTGGAGCCATGGTCATTGGAAGGCTGACTGTACTGGACATCTGAGAAGACACACTCAGACTGTTGACCGTTGATGCTGGATGCCAGCTGGGACCTCTTCTGGTGTTGTCAGCTGGAGAACCTACACCTGGCCTCTCTTGCATGATGGTTTCAGAATAGCCAGACTTTTTACATGGTAACTGGCTTCCTCAGAGACAGCCTCCTTAAGAGGACCAGGTGGAATCTGCATGACCTTTTGTGACCCAGCTTTTGAAGTCACATAGCATATTTCAACCATATTCATTTGGTTAAAGGAGTCAGTCATAAGCCTGCCTAGATTCAAGGTAAGTGGACATAGGCCAAAATTCTCAATAAGAGAAATGTCAAAAAACTTTGAAACATGCTTTAAAACCATCACAAAAAGGTATTAGCCAAATCCTCACCGTCTTTTCAGTTCACTCTATGTATTGCTGAAGACCTAGTATAAATTAATGTTCCCACAGTGTTTTAAAAAGACTCAGATTTCAGCCATGGTTGTAACATATTCAAGTTTTGAAGAGGGTGGTCGCTTCTATAATCTTTATAGAACTGGAATATTCAGAACTATTGCTGCAATAATGATGTCTTATCAAAAGATATCAAAGTTATTTACATATGCTAAATAATTATCTAATTCCTGGCCAACATAATGAAACTCCCTCTCTACTGAAAATACAATAATTAGCCAGGCATGGTGGTTCATGCCTATAGTCCCAGCTACTCGGGAGGCTGACGCAGGAGAATTGCTTGAACCTGGGAGGTTGCAGTGAGCGGAGATCACGCCACTGCACTCCAGCCTGGGAGACAGACTGAGACTCCATCCCCCCCCAAAANAAAAAAAAAAAAAAAAAAAAAAATTCAACACAATGGAAAACTATACAGCTGTTACTTACATTTAGCAGAAACACTGGTGAAATAAACTTAGTTAGCACTATTATCCATCACTTTATTATTTTTTCCATCAATTATCGTTTAAACCCTGACTTTTCCTAAAGTGCTCTGGCCAATGTGATATGAGCATCCCTGGGTATATGAACCACTCCTATCTCTTTGATCAATAGAGCAGTCAAGTAACTGGTGAAGCAATGTCCTTAGATTTGCAAGTCTGTCACGTCACAGGCCTAGACTGCTAATTGGTGGCTCTGCTTTTAATTCCAGCATCTCTGGTTCATTTTGCCTTTATTTTTTAGCTTTGTTTTTCCCTAGACACCTCTAGGTTTCTCCTGGTATTTAAAAGAGGGGGCAGTGGGAAAGTCCATATCCAGTGCCCATGTTCTTGGCCTGCGCACTATTCTGTCCCCCATTATCTTAGCTTGCTTCCCTTTCATATCCCACTTCTCTCAAAGGGCAGCTTTATTTCCTCCCTCTGGCAAGAAGCCTTCTACCCAGGGACTCCTGGTTCTCGATTCCCATGAGTATTCCTCTTAGTCACTTTATCTAGGCCACCACAGGACCATCAAAGGTCATTTTGCAGGCCAGAAACCTCTCCCAACACCCACAAGTGATACTAGTGACAATGTGTGGACACTTCACTCCTGTCATGGAAACAGGGAGTTACCATCCAAAGGTAAGTCCCATAGGCTTTCCACACACTTACATAATAGTCCATATCATTCAAGCTCATAAGTGGATTGCTGATTTGTCAGCCAGTATCTCAAGGATGGGAACGATAGTTTATACATTTCTGAATCCTTTGTGCCAAGATATATCTAAACTGTGTTCTCAACTCTTGCTGTTTGAATGAATGAATTAATGAATAAAAGATGATCGACAATTAGGTTTCAACAGTCCTGATGATCAAGGCCAGATATTTGGGTGTTACGGGGACTTCCTGGTTCCCTTTTATCAGAAAAACACCTGGGCATCTACTAAAGAATTGTTGAATTCCCTACTGAGGGGCTAGAGTTCGAAGAGCTGAAGAGCTGTCTTTTGGAGTAGAACCCATCACCATCATCACTCTCCATGTCCCATCTCCTTTTTTCTGACTCTGAATCAAAATAGGAAGAGAGAATATCTTGATCAGCAAACACCCTGAGCCAATTCATCCCTGATCCCTGCTCAAGACACTTTCTGTTTCCCTGCTGCCCTTAAGTTAGCAAAGCCATGAGCTTAGGGTCACAGGGTCAGGGTCTGAGAAAAATGGTGAGGGACAAGGAGAGATAGAGATGATAGATAGATAGATGATTGATAGATGATAGATGATAGATAGATAGATAACAATGATTTACTTGTTCATTTCTTCCAGGGATCACTGAGC